GAAAGCTGGCACATCTCAATGTGTGTGAGTGTGTGTGTGTGTGTGTGTGTGTGTGTGAGTGTGTGTGTGAGTGTGTGTGTGTGTTCGTGTGTGAGTGTGAGTGTTGCAAAGAGATTTCATTTTAAATCTTCAGTTCGTATTCGGCTCCAGAAACAATAGTTCACTGTCTGTCTCTCTCTCGGTGACGGTGAAAGATACTGATAGGGTCCAGCTGGCTCAGTTCCCAATGGGTGTTGCCATGACAACCACGTTTTGGAAAAATTGGAAGTGGTGGACCAGGCCATCTTTAGGAGACGGTCACAACACAACACGCTCCGTGGCAGACTGTGTTCCCCTGAGAGTCTTAACTCAGGTGTCAGGAATCGCGCTTCATCGTTTAGGACGTGTTACGGACGACCTTCAGATGTCAACGCACGGAGCGAGCTTGTTTTCTGCTCGTCTCTCTTTTCTCCTTGATGCATCGCGCGTCAATAAATGCTTTTGGTTTGAGACATCTGGGTCTTTCTCTCTCTCTCTCTCTCTCTCTCTGAAAACACAGGAGCTGCTCGGCAACTGTCCGTCCTCCGTCTTTCCCTTCGTGCTTCTTATTCATCAGAGTGCACGTTACAAGAAAACTACACAACTTGTGTTTTACCTGAAAACAGCAGCCTGATTAAAATGACTTTGAACGGGGAGAATGTTTTTCGTTTCCGCTCGACACCCGAACTTCAACGTGCAACAGGAAACCAACTTAAAAGGCTCAAACGCACCGATCTACACAGCGGATACACAGAAAGTGGAAATTATAATATGCAGAATTGGTCTGGACAGACCGTGAACTGTCAGAATCAGGTTGAAGAGTAAAGCTGAACTTTTAAATAAGCTAAAAAGACTTTAAATGGTATTTAATAAATTTTATCTACAACATTCAACATTTAAATATGAAGATTTCTAAACAGAGTTCGGTGGATTAGATTTGAATAATTATCAATCTTCACTAAACCTCGGTTTTCCCATCAGACACAAGCTTTAATTAAAAAAAACCGTCTTTAACCTTTAGAAGGGAATTCTTGGGTTAACGATGGAGACATACCGCGACCATGGAGGAGGTTAATTAGAGCAACAGACACACGTCACAACAGGAAACCAACACAAAGCTGTTACAGTGAGTGAATATTCAACAGGTCACATTCTGTTGTAATTACTCTGAACTCATTACAGGAACCAAACAAACTGCTGCTTCTACGTGCAGCCGCTGCTAAATGACAGACACATTATATCTCAGAGAGCTGGCACTCATTTTTAATGAATGACATAACTTTGTTGGGTGTTTATGTCAGATGATTGTCTACGTGACTCCTCGTCTCAGGTACAAAGAAACTGTCAATGAAATAATATTTTTTTGCAGCAGAATTTATTCTTCTAATCGAATAATTATCAGCTGAACCATCTGGATTCGTCTCTCGAGCCCTCGTCGAGGTCCCTGCCCCTCGGTTTAGAAGCGGAGCAAATAAATATTGGAAAACTGAAAAAAAAAAAAAGGTAAACAAGACTGTGTTGATTATGATTTAAAGACCGAATGAACTCCACATCAAATAAAACATATTCTAAACTATCCAGCTGCTTCTTCTTGACTTTAACCTTGTTACAAAATATTGTAGTAATATTGAACCATCCAATCGTAGCTCACACGATTTTCATTTCATTTCCTACGTTGCACCGAGCTCCGCCCATCAGGGACGTCGCTACTACCCCTGAGGATTGTGGGTAGTACACATTTTCTGTGTGTGCACAACTTGCGTCATCCAGTCTGACGTCACCAGAAAACCTTCAGGCCGACTCAGATAAAGTTCTCGCTCCTGTTCCCTTCCCTCTACTTAACTTTCCTCTCAAGCTCTCGTTTCATCTCGTTCCTTCACTCTTCTCCTCTTTTCGCATATTTTCCCCCCTCGAAAAAAATTTTCATTTTCATCAAACCATCTCCGACAGCGTGAGTGTGAACCCTCACCCCGCCCGTTTTGTTTTGTTCTTCTTGGTTTCTCTTCTCCCCCTGAGCTCGGAAAACTAAAAACAGAAAGTCGCCGAGCAGAAAAAAAAATCTCTCAGCTTTCACTCTGTTTGTTTTGCGGAGACGCTCCCGTCGTCTGCCTGTTGACTTTCACTTTCATTTCCCATTTTTGAATGTTTTTAATATTTCATTTCTGAGTTTTGATGTTTGACACTCTGGCTTTGATGCTAACGCTATAGTTTGATAATGCTAACGCCTGAAATATCAGCTTCAAGGTCAATTTTTCTTATTTGTGCCCGATGACACTTCACCCTTCAGCAACATGACGCCGAGAAGACTGAGATGCATAACAACCGGGAGACAGTCAATAATAGGACGAGCGGGCTCTGCGGCAGAAACAGTGAAAGACAGACTGACAGCTGGAACCGACCTGAAATACACCCGGGGGCGAGTTGATGGGGAGGTTGACAGACAGAGAGCCGAGCAACATCCACCCTGAATTTAAATAAACACGATCAATGAGGGTTTCGCCGAATTCACAAAGATGATCCGCGTGAACTGTGGAGGGAAATGTTTTACTGAGACTGAATCTACTGCAGCCGGGAAACAAACGAAGCAGAACAGACACAGGAAGAGTGACTGCGTGTCAAGACTGCAAATATATACACGGAATAAAAGCTCAATTTAAAGACACATCGGGCGCCGTGTGCAGCAGGTGATCATCCTGGACGAGGCCCGACGCTGCACGTGCAGCTCCGGCGGTTCGTTCCCTGTCAGGTGTTACCGTGTGAGTGACGGGAGGAAACCCAGCGGGTCAGCTGACCGGCAGGAAGGGGCCTCATTTACACACGTCCATTGTGGTAATTGTCTCCCAGACGGAAGTTCTATTCTACTCTTTTCTTCGTGTTTGTGGAGTTTCAGCAGCAGCAGTGTCTCATTCAAAACCCGTGTGGGCCGCGCTGGTTAACGTTTCCACGGTCGGAGACATTTAACTGGATTTTTCAGTATCAGGATTCCTCTCCGCTCCGGGGCTGCCCACGGGTTCATGGTGACACAACTCAGTGATGTGGGTGGTAGACGGTACGTTTCTGCATGTGTGTGGGAAAAACCGCGACTCTGACAATGTGGATCCCAGATAATTGCAGCTTGACACACATTTACAGCAGCCCAGAGGTTTAAACAAGGGGGATGCATCCACCCCTCGTCCACTGAGCGCAACATACAGCAGCTTAGAATCCGCTCGCTTCACACAACAAACAATACATCATCATCATCATCATCATCATCTCTCTGCTCAGACGACAAAACTGGTTTTACACTGCAACTGAACATTCACCCTGACCTAAGCTTGTGTGTAGTGGGACACACACTCACACACACACACACACACACACACACCCTTCGCACCACAGCTTTGTTTCCATTATGCAACACTAATCTGAAGCTTCTACAATAAAGCTGACGAGTGGAAATCCCCTGCAGAACCACTGTTCCATCAGAAACAAACAGGTGAACGCCAATGAAAGTAAAAAAATACCTGGTTTTTCAGGTTACACTCAAGTCTTCAGGTAAATTTAGATGCATCTGTTTCAGGAAACTTCCCAGTGTTTCTCATAAATCCAATACAAAATAAATATCTTGAGATAAATCGACAGATGATTAAAGGAAAGACTCTTGACATCAGACAACACTAAATATAAATGATCTACTTAAATACAATCAGAATTTAAAAAACTCCTCACACGTGTCCGGATCTGTTCAGACATTTACAATTTTTAAAAATAAAACGTTTTTATCATTCTGGCTGTAGTGTCTCTTATTGTTGGTCAACTGTGGAGGAAAGTAACTGAGTACATTTACTCAGATACTGCTCTCGATTACTATCGATTACTAATCATAGATACATCTGCTCTCAGTGTCAGAGGGAGAGTTGTATTTTTATTTATTCATTTATTTATTGCGTTGATTTGAAAGTTGATGTGAAACAACTGGGTTTAATTAATAAATGTGCTTCACAGATATTATTACCTTGTGTGGGACAGGCCGATAAAACATGCATGAGGGTTTGATTTAAGAGGCAGAAGAAGAAGAAGGGAGGATGGATCAGAATAAAAACGGGAAGTGGTGACTTCTGTTAAGCTGACACTATAGAAACCAGATGGACAACTGGATCATTTCCATAGATCTATAATCCGCTCACTGTATCCCCCCCCCTCCCTCCGCACACACACACACACACACACACAATGGAGCAGCTGGTCACGATGCTTTTCATCTGGACCGGACGTCAGATTTGTGTTCGACAGGAAACAAGACTCAGCGTCTCCATCAACAGCCGGAACTGAATCTAACTTCCATCGGCTGTGATTGAAAAATTGAAGGAAGCTGAGGACGGAGCCTCAAACACACACCAGCATCATTTTCTGGGGCTGAGACAAACATGGCACCCATCACCCTCTAGTGGATGAAATGAGACTGAATCCTGTTACTGAGTAGTTTGTGTGAACTGACCAGGATGAACTTTGACCTGAGGTGGAGAGCAACCACGGACAATTACACAAAGAGACAAACAAAATCTAGCTTGTCTCTCTAATTTAATTCAATCTGTCCTTGTCTCTGTCCCCTTTAATGTGTCCTTCCCCCATAAATAAGTGTCCCAAGGTCCCTTGAAAGGAAACATAAAAATGTAAGTTATTATTATTAATATTCATCTTCTCTGTCTGACGGGAGAAAAAAACTTAGAAGATCCTGAACATGTAAAACAAGTGGAAAAGTCGACCTGTTACTTAAACTGAAGTATCTGAGTCCTTCACTCGTCACTTATTAATTAAAGCTAATGATTTATGACTCATAACCTTGAAACTGGAGTTTACAGGGGTTCTTAAAGGCAACACGCTCACATTCTTTTACGCCACATTCCAGGAAAAAAAAACAAAAAAAACAACCACACTCCCTGTAAACTGATCTGTGTTTTAAACAGAACTAGAACAAACTGAACCTGTGAAGAAAAGGTTTTAACTCCTCCTTCAGTTTATCATTAACTCCTCCTCACACTGACCACAGCTCAGGGCTGATCTTCGTCTCAGGAGAATGTGCTGCTGACAAACGTAAACCTCTGACACCTCCACTCACTGTTGCCTCCCCTGAATCCAGTTGACAGGGACAGAAAGTGAAAGTACAGACAGAGCACATAAAAGAGGAAGCAGCACAGCACACCTGAGCGTCGCAGGTAAGAAGACATGTTTGTTAAAGAGCATTATCTACATATGTTTTTTGTGTTTTAGACAGTTTGGTTAATCAGTGACAGTCTGGAAACACTCTGTTCACGTACGTGATCTACAGATTCACCTTTTAACCCGTTGATCGTTTTAATATCGAGACAAACCTGTAAAACAACACAGGACATGGTGATAGGGGTGGATAAGGATTTATTCTCTATTATATTCTCATGTTTTTTTAAAAAGGGCTTTATAAATAAAGTTTAATATTATGTATTATAACCACATGCTCAGTGTCTTGAGTTTGAAACACAGTTGCCGTTTCCATAGATTCTCTTTACACCATGATGTTGTTGCTCGGGCAGGTCGTCGTGTTTTCTGTAAACAAAACCGAGCGGAGCCACGATGACTAAAAACACCTCAGCTTCAGTTTCCCACAGGCTCCGGTCAGAGCTGCAGATTTCCTCGGCTGCCTTCAACCTTTAATTTCATGTTTCTTCTTCTTCTTCTTCTTCTTCTCATGTCTGGATGATATCTAAAGGACTGAGGTGTCAGAAATGGAGGACAGATCCACCGAGAGCCCGGACGAGGACACTGTGTTTCTCAAGAGCAACGTGAAGACGCCCACCAATGGCGGTGTGAAGCAGACACTGGGCGTGATGAAGTCGCTCAGGAGGAGCATGAGACGCGCCGCGGAGAAGAACCCGCTTTTACCAGGCAAAGGGTCAAAGGTCACGCGTCCAGCAGACACAGCTGGAAATGAGTCGGGGTCACAGCTGCCTTCATCACCCAGTGAGTACCGTCAGGGTTGTTATGGAAACCTGCTGTGAGACGAGGTGCAGGGACAGTAACGTCCTCTCAAGGTCAGAGGAAGGACACACGAGGTGAGATTCAGTGACAATCAGGAGGAGACGGATTTGTTTGGTAAACAGTCACAGCCGCTTCGGAAAGTTCAGTCACGTCACTTCTCACGCGATTTAACGAGAGTCACGTGACTTTCACAGCTTGTCTGGTCCGCACCATCGGACTTTTCACTTTTCGTCAGATCAGGTGTGAAATCACCAAAAACACTTTTGGGCTAATAACCACAGGAAGTAGAGACAACATTAAACAACAGAGGAAGAAAAGGGACAGGAAGCAGCTGCAGGTAGACGCCATCTACAAACCAATCAGAGTCAAGCACAGGTAGACGACGCCCACGTAGGTGGTGAAGACGGGACGTACGTATGTCAGACAAAATTCTTTAGTCCCTAAATCACGATGTGAAACCAAACTCCGACACACTGAGACCGTCCCTGCTGTGAGGCGACTGTTCACCGCTGCCGCTTCACATAATTCTCCTCAAATTAATATTCTCACACCTTGGACTCTCGGCAGAACGTGTGTGTGAACTCTCTTGACTGAGCTGTGGGTGATGTGTGTGTGGGTGGAAAGAGCAACAGTGTGGGAACACGGTGCGGAAAGAAGAACTGAGAATCATTAAAACACAAAACCTGTGCTGGCGATGTGGAAACACATCCCTGCGTGACCTCCGCTATAGATTTTAAGTTTGTAAAATATCACTGCAAAACGTTTAACTGGTTTTTACGACCTCTGCCACGGAGCTTATGTTTTCATTGCTGTTTGTTTGTTAGCTACAGAACTGAATTCCATAACACTGACCCAAAGAAAACCCCCTTCGGTTGAGGGGTGGATCCAGATAAACAGATCCAGTGAGACTGTTTCACTTTCTTTTACATGGCGAGATGTAGAAGTGTTGGACGAGGGATGCGCTCTCCCTTCTTGTTTATGGTTTATCCTATCGGCCTGAGATGAACCCAATCAAATTTAAGGTGCGTTAATAAAACGTAAACAAGCAGTACTTTGTATGAAATTACACGAAACTTGAAATACTTTAATCCACCGCTTACTTTTACTTTTAACTCAGAATCAGAAGTACCTTATTTATCCCTGTAGGGAGATTCAAATCATGACTCAGTCTCTGCGTTCCCCAGAGGGTTTATCTTCAGGTCACAGTTTAGGATGAAGCCAAATCATGCACACGCAACATGAAGTGTGAAAATGAAACTTGATTTCTTTTCTGACAAACAGAGATGTGACTGTGAAACAGGGAGGTGTCGAGCCACTCGGACTGAAAAGGTATTATTGTTTCTCTCTTTTAGGTCCGAGCGCCGGCTCTCCGGTCGTCTCTCCTCTGAAGAACCTCGGCAGCTTCTTCCAGAGAAAAGAGGACGATGAGAGCGATGTTGCCTCCCAGAGAAGCCAACCTCTAAAGCGTTCGAAGACGGGTGAGGAGAGAAGAAACAAATCTTCTAGCAAAAAGACCAGAAACCAAAACGTTCCATTAAATGTTTTCCATCCTCAGATCCCAACATGTCTGCGTCCAGGGAGAATTTCGTGAGAAGGTCGTTTCGTCGAAGCATGTTCACCACCAAGAAGGAAAAAGAGCGGAGAGGCCAACAGGAGCCGCTCAACACCGTCACCGAGGGCTCAACGGAGGAGAGGACGGAGGAGGTGGAGGAGGAGTTAGAGGAAATGTACACACTGCAGGAATTGCCCCACACACCACTGTCAGGTACAGTCTGTCCCACATGTTGTATGACCTGCGTCCACAGAGGGTTTGCTCAAAGGCACCCTGGTGGCAGTTAGTGTCACCGGAGACGTCTTGGCCTGAGCGTCTTCTTGTGTGAGACGTAAAGACGAGAAACAAAAGCTGCTTTCAGACACGACCTTGAGTCCAGACATTTGACAGAGGGGCTGTTTGATAACTCTATTTGTACAGCACTTATCTAAACGAGGGTTCAAAGTGCCTCACACAGAAAATCCTTTGCAAAATCACCAATGAATTATGATAAAAGATCATTTAAAGACCCGGATCATAACGTTAAAACATCACGACCTTAAATTTATACAGACCCAAATGTCCACGTAAGTTGCTCTGGTTATTTTCTAGAACTTTTTCCGTAAAATGTCCGCAGAATGTGAGCGTGAGTCCATAGCGAGCGAGTTGACGCGTTGACATTTCAATCAAGCAAAACTGGAAGAATTCAAATACGTCAGGACGAAAATGTCAACATCGTCATTTTCCAGAGTTCACGTCTGAAATCAACACAGAACGACTCTGTGCTCCACATTCACACTGCAGCTACCGGCGTCTCCAGGAATAATTCTCTAACTCCTTATTGTTTTCATTTCTTATCGTAGAAGCTAATTCTGTCGTCCTTCGGTTAAGACTCAGTGCAGAGCTGCAGGATGTGAACACAACCTTGTCTCACTCTGGTTCCTGACTCGTTCTCTGTCTGCACATTCAACCTGCTCTTCTTTATCTTCCTCTGTTTTGGCAACAGGCACAGATAGGAATCTTTTACTCAGAGGTTCAGCTCGTCTTCAGACGCCGACCGTCTGAACTCTTTAAAATGCTGCCTCAGATAAGAGTCAGTGGTTTGAGTGGTTTCCTCTTTTCTTCTTCCTCTCTCAGTCTTCCTCCTCTCATCTCTTTCTTCCTCCTTCCTCTTCTTTTTCAGTTAAGCTGGATGGATTTCTTTTCTCGCCTTTCTTCCTCTCTTTCTTGCTCCCTTGCTTTTCTTCTTCAAATGTTTCTGACCAGTCACATGATCAGTGATGAACTCTTGTTCAGGATCAGGGATGAAAATTATTCTTAACCAGATTGACGGAGGATTGAGAACTTGTGGCCAAATGCAGAATATTTTTATATCCATCTGCTCTACATGTTGTTTAATAGCTTTTATATTGTAGGATTTGTTGTGTGTGTGTGTGTGTGTGTGTAACATTAACCATCCACTGTGTGTATTTGCAGTGATGCAGATCAGTAAGCTGATAGAGATGGAGGTGCTGGAGGAGGCTCACCTGAACCTGCTCGCCCTGCGTCAGGAGCTCCAGCAGGAGTTGGAGCGCTGTGGAGAGGACT